TAATTTCTCAGTAATTTAGTGCTTTGGATGCCTGTGGTAGAAAGTTCGTTTGACAGAGTCTTTGTTAAGCTTTAAACCCAAATGCACATCTCGATCAGTAAATGACCCAGTCATCTGGGTATCATAATCATACTGTTTTTCTTCATTATGATTGGATTCTGTACTTAAAAACAAAGTCCATTACTGAGAAGTGCCCTTCCCTGCTTCAATTTTGAAAAATCACATAAATAATCATATCTTCTATTAAACTCTTATAATTTAGCAGTTACCAGATATGATTGTAGTGGTTGGTTGGTATACTGGCATAAATTGATATGCATTTATTTATTTTATAAAAGTATATATTTTTTGAAATTTATATTACAAAATACCAGTTATTGGATTAAGAGGAATCACCTCCTAATTTAATAGATTAAAAAGATCTCGTAATCTAATAATAAATGGTTTTGCCATCTAAAAGTAGGGTAGGCATGAGTGAGTAATCGAAGGGTTACTCAGAAATTGAACCAAAAAAAAAATGAATTTAGTTTGGTTTTAATATTTTTTGAGTTTTATTATTTTGATTTTGATATTAACTAAATAAATTTTGGTTTGGTTTTAATTGAACCTTTCACAAATAAAAAACAAAAAATAAACTTTTTGAAACTAAAATTTGGATAAATATAACAAAATATAATAAAATATAAGATAAAATATAATCTATTATTAAAATAAACTTTTTGAAACTAAAATTTGGATAAATATAATAAAATATAATAAAATATAAGATAAAATATAATCTATTATTAAAATAAAATTGATTAATATTTATTTAGTAAAAATCGAAACCAAACCAATTTTATTGATAATTAAACCAATCGATTTATGAAAATTTTGATTCGATTTCAAAATTGTAAAAAAAAAAATTTAGTTGTTTTAAAACCGATTTTAGTTTCAATAGAAACCGATTTTTGCCCACCCCTATCTAAAAGAGATAATTGTGATAGGAGATTATTCTTAATTAATTCCATCTACTCCTACCTTGTTTTTCACAGAGAAGTTGACTGATTCCATCCATGAACAACACGAGATTAGGCATTTTAGGGGTCCCAGTTTGGTGTTTTATTGAAACCCAATATTTGGGGTTGAATTTCAATTGGACTGTAATTTGAATATCAATATCAGCTACAAAATCTACAACACCTGGTCTGCCTTTATTTGCTAAAGTTTCTAAGGTTGTAGATGGAAATTTCTGGCCTCCTGCTCTCCTCACGACTTGTGCAGATTTAGATAGCTCTCTTCAACCGCTAGACTTAGTCGTTGTAACTATTATATTTGTTAAGGTCATCGATTTATTATAACTTTTTTTATATGAAAATACTTTGATAATTTTTTTATCAACCTTTTCTATAATAATTTTTTATTAAATATAAAAAATCAATAATTTAATAAAATTTTAACCAAATTTATTAACTTTTTCGTATAATATTAATTAACTTGTTATGTAATATTTTTCTAATAAAAACTTTACGGACAAAGTTAGCTCTTTTTCCATCTGTTTGTAACAGTACTTTTACTACTTGCGAAGCAGCTAAAAAGGAGTAATCCCTCTTTTCCCTTTTTGATGTACAGAAAAGCATGGACTATTTTTCTATCTACAGAAAATCATCAATATTTCATTAATCACTTTTTTTTTGGGGTGAAGTAATATTTCATTAATCATTATTATCAGTAAAATCACTATTTTTTTCCCTAACGGTTGTGCTTTGAAGGACAGCTGGATAGGGTTTTTTATTTTTTTATTGTATAATAAAAAATAATCATATTTTATTTCTTATCATATCTCATTCGTATGTTATATAACTCAAATTTAAAATCACTTATTTTTAGTGATACGAGATAACTATTAAATTATTTAAGTTATTAAAATTGTTGGATAAGGTAAGAAAATTAAAACAAGTTAGAAAAACCTAAAGGAAAAAAAAAAATCAATTTTACCACCAAAGTAGAGGGGTATAACGGTCCTTTCAGAAATCCCACTTGTGGTCGGAGGAACTCCGAACCGAACAACTCTACCGGTCAGTTCCATGGGGTCAAAGCACTTTCCGTGAACACAAACAACATCGGATTAAGCTCTTTCTCGATCGAATCATTATTTCTTTATCAAATCTTTTTCTGTTTCTTTCTTTGTCGTGTCGAAGCTCTCCGCTGTTAGAATTCCAGGGATCATCCGCTTTTGTAAGCTCTCGAAACAATATTACTGCTTCGCAATTTTTAAGGAAATTTGATTCATTGGGTGTTTTTGAGTTTTGTCTGTTATCTATCTTCTTTCATCTATTTGATGTTTAGAATCGACTCTGCAACTGATTTTGCTTAATCTATTAAATACTTTAGTCTATATCTCTTTTATGATGATTGAATTATGAGCTTAGGTTCTTGGTGCATTAAATTTTGATGGGTAGATTCATGGTCAAGGTATTGGAACTTTGTTGCGTCTTTTGAATTGGTTTGATCTCTAGTTAGGACGAAGTTAAATTATGCCTTTTGCTTTTATTATTATTATGTATCTGTCCAAGATCAGTTCTAGTGCATCTTTTGCAATTTTTGTTTGAGATTTCTCCCAAGTGTTGACATTTCTTGTGATCTTTAAGTTCTGAGGGTACTTTCTTTTGTTCTTCCTTGTCCCAATTTAGCACATGTTCTAGGCATAAATTTCAGTAAAATTTTATTAACATTTTAGGAGTATAGCTAGATCTATATATGGGTTATCAGCTAATTGAGAAGCATCTATTCTTCTCTTTCTGTTTTTGCTCTTGGTTTGTATAGGTGTTTGGATACGTAAATGCTGCTCGGAATCAGATCTTGTAATGGAAATCTTGCTATGTCTTTTGGTGGATATTGAATCTCAAAGATTTCGAATGCTTTAAAATCAAATAGCTGCATTGTATTGCATGTCTCATCAGCATTTCCCTGTATTGGTTATAGGGTTGTACCTCTTCTTGAAGGGAATTTTTCTTGATGGATAATGGTCCACGGAATATAGAGGTGATTCCAGATCATTTTCAAGTTTCAACTGCTCAAAGCAATAACCCATCTACTTTGCAGCAACAAACTGATAATTCTTTGAGGTAATATTGATTTACTTCCCAAATGAGAAAAAAAAAAAGGGAAGAAAGATCTAGAGATTTCAAGTTCAGCTCACTTAGCATTCTTGTTCTGGTTTAGGATAGGTCCCATAGCCAATTTTGGACTCGAAGAAAATTGAGAAGTGCTGGATTCATTATGAATTTGTTTAGTTTACCTGGTATGCCGTGGGGTTCTAGCAGTGATGGCCAAGAGAAGGTTCATTGCAGCTTCTTTGAAGCTCACCAGTTGATGTTGGTGATAACCAATTAAATTTAGTCTCTGATCACTGTAATGTTACTAATCTGCAGGTGCAGGTTACGGCTGCAGAGTTAGAATCACTTCGGTCAGAAATTGCTGATTTAGAAGAGAGAGAAGCTCACTTGAAAGCTCAGTAAGACACCTAAGTCTTATATTTGAAGCATGATGATGTGCCTTTGTCTGGTAAAATAACATGGCCACTGGCCAGTAATTGAGTCTGTCATGTCTTTAAAATCCATTGCAGTTGAAATATTAAGGATGATATTCTTGTCTCTTGGTTGGAATGTTCAAACCAGATGTTACAGAAAGAAATATAATTGATATCTGAATTGTTTTAGAACTGGGATTTACTTTGTTTCTAAGCTTAAAATCCGTGTGTGATTTTGACTCTTTAAGTTAAAATTTTCTTTGTTGCATGTGTTAATTTTGTTCTTTTTTATACAGGTTGGAACATATTGATGAAATCTTACGATCTGCTCATCTTTCTGGCTACTTGGACATCCGAACTGTAATGACTAAATCCATTCCAATATCTTATGTTTCTAGTTATCTATCCTGCACTATTTTTGCAAATTACCTCTTTAGTAAACCACTTTGCAACATATCCATTCACAGAGGTGGGCAGCTCTACCAGGAGAACCTCCTCCTATCGATGATACTGACGTTGATGATTGGCTCCCTCGATTTGTTGTCCTTCATGGCACATGTATCTTTTTCTTTTTGTCATCAACAGGTAATTTAACTAATTGTTTTCCAATTAGTTCTTCCCAAGTTCACATTTTCTTTATAAAGCCAGGATCTCTTTTGAATAAAATTCTATTCAAAATTTCAGTAGCTGACATATTGAATGCATGATATTTCAGTATAATGACTGCTTTGTCTCCCCAGATCGATACCTAAACAAAATTCAAAACATTAATTTCTCATGAATTTAAAACATAACATTCTGCAGATTTGAGTCCTCAAGACTCCACCCTCCTATCTGATATTGTTGAGGTGGGTTCGCTGCCCAGCTTTACTAGAGAAGATGAAGGGATAAGACATTGCTTCTATATCATGACATCCCAAGGACTGCGATTTGAGTGCTCACATATTTCCAAAGCACAGGTATCCCTTGCCATCCACAGCACACAGTCTTCTGTAGTTTTATATACCCACATGATTCTGTATTTATTTAGACTGGTTCTTTTCTCCTCAGGTGGACTGTTGGTTATCAGCTTTGCAATCTGATTGCAACTTGGGTTTGGATGTAAAAGTTCCCAATGGTTTGACAGAGAAGTGAAATTATTCAGACCTTTGTAACATTAAATTGTAAATAGGGTCAGGGTTTAGATCAAATTGGACTGTAACATTGCTGCTAACATATTCGTTGTCTTTGTACATGTGATGTTATCTTAAATAATTCCAGTTATGATTCTTTTGAGTAAACCAACGGAATGGGCTTCATGATCCCTTATTCCCTTGCTTTTCCTTGGAGGATTTATTCCATTTATTTAGATTATTCTGCTCATGGCCGATTGCTTGTTCTAATTGTAAACTCATACCATGATCAATAATATCATATTTTTATAAATAAAGAGAATATGATTCGTTTTTAGTAAAATATTTATAAAGCAATCTCTATTAATTTAGAAGTAACTTCATAGTGTCAACAATTAGAGGAAGCTCCATTTTTTTCCATTTTAAACTGCCATGTGCTACTAGGTTGCCTAGCAGTTTGTGAAGAAGCTTCCATAATCCTTCATTCATGTTCTTTTTCATTTTTCAGTAAAAGTTTCCAGAGGATTAAAAAAGAAAAGAAAAATTATTTTATAATTTAGATTATATAAAATTACAAAATAAGAATAAATAAATAAATAAATAAACTTTAAAATCCATTTAATATGATTTAAGTTTTCCAATTCAATATAGCCACTATACAATACTCTCTTCTTTTTTTTTGAAAAGAAAAAATAATAACATTTTACAAGGGTTTTGGGTTTTTTTTAATTTTTATGTGTTTTTATGATTTGAAAAATATATAAAATATTAATTATAATATAGATTAAATATTGTTTATATATTTTTAATATATTAAAATATTAAAAAATTTACAAAATACAACTATACAAGCACTTTCGTGGAAAGTCACATTAGTCACATCCTTTTCCCCACCTCATATGGCACGTACTACATACGGCTCGGATCACGTTTTTGACCCGACCGCACGCACTCACCTACAGTACCAATTTTTTTTTTTTTTTTAAAGGAAAATGGAAAATCAGTCTCTTTCGTGGATATATAACTGCTCTAACAGTCTTGCGTTTATTCGTTATCTCTCAGCACAGCAGAGTCCTCAGATAAAATT